ATGGAAGCGGTGGAAATCATTGAAACAGAAAGTGGATGGAATCCACTTTTTTAGGTAACTGAATTTTAGTCGTAAATGTAATTAAATATTGACAATTAGGTAGAGACACAATTACTTGTTAATGAATGGTAGATTTGCAAAATTTTCAATTTCATGTAAGATACAGGAAAATTTCCCAAAACATAATTGTTATGTGTCTTCTGCATGAAATCTTCTTAGACACGTGTCCTCAAATACGTCTTCAAGTACTGTAGTCATTGTATTTCCATTTAGAAATCGTATAAATACATTGAATTGTACCCCACTAAGGACCACGTTCAATCAACCACTCACAAACAATGCACCCAGAGAGTAGTAAATACCATATTGCCGATCTAATTTTCATTGGCGATCTCATTTATGCTCGATTTATGTTCTTAAATCCATAATCCCTACAAATTTATATTTGGCAACTCTTTATATTTATGTTCTTACAATTTGCAAGATAGTCACTATTTCCACTACTTCGAACTAATATGTCTTCGTCTAACAATCCAAACAATAACCAAGACAATCGTGAGGATAAATCTCCTCCCATCGCTGACATCAGTCCAATTTTCAACAATCACAATGATCACTCAGCGATGGAAAGAATGCAATCAAAGGTTCAAAAACATACAACCAACAAATTGACGGCTCACAAGATCAACATAAAAATGTCCCAAATCCGTTGATAAAGGGTAAGAAGATGGATAATAATAGAAGAGCAATTAGAGAGCGCGGTCACCATAAACACGACATTCTTCAATAGATAGAAAGAAGATAACCCCACGAAAAAACCGTCGGCAAAATTGCGCTTTTTATGCATACCCGACACCTTCTCCTTCATGGACGCCCAATTGCTCAAGCTCTCGTCTGCATTTCCTCTCGCAGCAAAAATCGCCCCCAAACAGCCCCTTAATTTCCCCTCAATTGCCCAAACTTATATTCAACTCTCTCTTTTTCCAATATTCCTTAACCCGAACCCCTGGAATAAACCGGGATTTCACACCACGGCAGCCTCGCGGAAAAACGACGCCGCTTTCGACGAGGCGGCTTACGAGGCCGAGCGGCTGAGCCTCGACGCCGCTGCCCGAGAGTCCATGTCCCAGAGATCCGAAACGGAGGCCCGATACTCGGACGACCCGAAGGCGTGGAAATGGGTCATCAGGAAACGGGTCTGGGACTTGATGGAGGCCCGGAACATAGCCCAATTCCCCAGGCCCGTCCACCATCGCATTCCCAATTTCGTCGGTGCCCATATCGCTGCTGATAAAGTAAGTTGTGAATTTCGGATTTTTTTTTTTATGTGATTGATTATGTATGTGGTTTTTGCCCGTGTTTTGTCTGATGCGGAGGCGCATGTTTGGCAGTTGAGTGAGTTGGAGGTTTTTAAGAATGCTGACTGTGTGAAAGTGAATCCTGACACGCCCCAGAAGCAAGTTAGATTCCTCACACTAAATGGTATAGTTTTTTGAGTTCATACTAGAAACTGTGTTGAATTTCATTTGTTGGATTCCCAAAAAGTGCATTTGTAGTTACTTGCACATAGAAGAAATTTAGGAATGTCCAATTTGATTGCCTGAGCAAAGGTCTCCATTTTGGGCATAAAAGCTGGTGGCTATTTTCTATGCGTTCTTGAAGCTCTTCCAAAATTTGAGTTTTGACAATAGAAATGGTGGCATATTGAATAGCAGAGATAAGTACTGCTGGTTAAATTATTGGGTATTGTTAAATCGGTTTAAAAATAACTTAGAGGGTGGATAAAAACTATATTTTCTTTTGAAGTCATGATTGGATGAGACCAATAAAAATGACCTGAAAAACCCAATAAATTTAGTTACCTGTATGGATAAAGGCACTAAATTAACTCTACAAAAGTTTTCAAGCATTGTTTAACTGGCCTATGAATGGAAGGATATACTAGGAAGCGTAAATACTAAATATGATAAAGGCATTTAGCTGGTTTAATATTGGGCAGATATGTATGTTATCATGCAGGTGGAAAAAAGCTTTTGACTCCACAGCCACGTCTTAGAACAGGATTTTTCTCAGTTCTTGAAAAGTTGATGCTAAGCCCGAGCACCATTAAGGAAGCGTGCACTTCTGTTGGGGTGGCCAAACATGGTAAGCCAATAGGTTTAGATGAGAAGATAAAAGTGGACTTGATCGTCATTGGCTCTGTTGCTGTCGACCCCAAAACTGGGGCAAGACTTGGCAAGGGTGAGGTATAAGATTTGTCCTTGTAAGTTTTGGCCATTGTTTTTCGATATATTTTAGCTAGTGCATTAGTTTGTTTCTGAATAAGCCTTAAAGGAAGATGGTTGACTTGATGTACTTCAAGAAGTTTATCCATTGTATTCCATAATTATGTGTTAGTACTTTTCCTAATAAGATCGTTAGACCAATGATACGACTCACATGTAGGAACTTTAAGTCCGATCCTTTTGAAAGAGAACACCCAGTGAATTCTGTTTGTATGGTCGAGGAACTCTTGTTATGAAAAATTTTGATGCCTGTGTGTTTATTCTATTCTATTCAACTATGTATTATTATTTAATTTTTATTTTTGTTCTTTCTTCTTCACCAAGTGCACAAGTGGGGCGTAATTCGTAAGATACCTATTTAAAAATTTTAAGTCTTGAGATACTTCAATTTGGTGAAGTACAACCGGCTTTAGTTAGCATATTTTGGTTTTGTTACTAATTTATTTGTAGTGCAGGGATTTGCCGAGCTCGAATATGGCATGCTACGGTACATGGGTGCCATAGATGACTCAACACCAGTTGTCACATCAGGTATGTTCTCTTTCATCCCTGTCCGGCAAATGTAAAAATTGAATCTGTACCCTTTTCTTTTTTCTTTTTTTTTTTTTCCTTGGTCCAACCTTCTCCTGAGTCCTGATGTAAATGTTGTATTTCAGATAGTTACAGAATTAAGGTTTTGGATAGTAACGAAAAAGCTCCAATTATATTTTGTCAGTCCTTCTCTTAGTTGCTCTTTGCCTATTGGTCAGATTTCTCTTTTTCACATTTCCAGTTCATGACGAGCAACTGATTGATGAAATTCCTGTGGAGAAATTGCTGGTTCATGATGTACCGGTTGACATCATTTGCACTCCAACCCAAGTTATCTTTACGAACACCCCAATTCCAAAACCTCAAGGTGAGTTCTAAAAATCTCTCTCCTTTGTTAGTATCAATTGAAGAGAAATGATTTCACTTGGATACATTCCCTTTGTCTATCCTTTTCTTGTCCCTCTGGCTTTTAGGAATATACTGGGACAAACTCTCTCCCGAAAAGCTTGGCCAGATTAGAATATTAAGAGAGCTTAAGAGTAAAATTGAACGTGAATCTGGGCAAAAGCTTCCCTGTGGTCCATCTGAGAAATTGCCCCCTACTGCCCCAAGGAGACGCTGATTCATTTTGTTCTCTGCATTTGACCTGAATCAAATCTGAAGAGAATCATTTTCAGTTTTGTGCAAGTGGTGTGTGTATTCGAATGTGAATTCACTGTTAGTTGAAACAATGGTGTTAATTAAAAATTTATTGTTTATGTAAAATT